CACTCGTTGGAATGTACGAAACACTTTGCATCATTGCTGTCTTATGCTGAAAGTAAGACGTGAAATGTCCTAGTTTTATATACTAAATAGAACGGCTAGGACAAAAGCTCATCTTTGCTGATTTTCGTTTTAAGTAAAGCGATTCCAAAAGACGTCATATTACTCTAAAACTGGGGAGCTTATTGAGTAAGAGTAGACAAACATGAAATAATAATAAAATAGAATGTTGAAGCGCCTTAATATATTTCGCCGACGTTGTCGCCCACGGCTGCATCTTAAGGTCCCAATATAGTGGTGACGGTGGTGGTAATTCCCAAAAATGTACAAAATCTACAATGTACGAAACCAAGTATGGTAGTGGATCTAGGGCTTTGAAAGAAGGGCATGTTCCCCTCCCTTAAGCGCAACCAGGTCCGCCAATAGCACCGGGTGCGGACCCAGGAATCGGAGGAAGGATGCCAGGAAACTTTGGCTGCGTTATATTAGAGAAACTTCTATGAATCCGAGAAAGGGTGGGGAGTGTGCAGAAAAATTTGGCATTAGATCTAGAGGAGCTTCTATGACTAACCAAAATAAAAATGGGGTCCCGGACTCTTTGGCCCAACCCTAAATCCACCCATGAAAACCCCCTTGAGAATTGATTTTGACAGCTATTTTTTTCTTTTCACTGAAACGACTACAATATGTAAAATTGTCAGTCTTTGTTCAGTCTCTTCAGTGGATTTGAATTACAAATCTGCAAGAGGGTCTTCTAAAGTTATTGTAGTGTTTCGACCTCGCTGTACGGATACCATTTTAGGTTGAACGAACATCAGCACCCAGTCCAGTAATGGTCAACGGCGCCGGGCATCTGAACAAATAACACTGACCACCTGAGAAAACTGTAATTTAAAAAGCAATTATGAAACTCAAGTCCTTGTGTTATGTACATTGAACAACACTAGACATGATACTATTAGGACTTAGCGACTTTCAAAGTCTCGGGGCTTTGCAAGTCTGAGTGCTGTTTACTTTTGATTTTTCGGTTTTCAAATAAGATGTTTGTACAGTTGGAGGCATAAAGTGGAACAATACAACATAAAGTAGCGAGAGAGTTTGATAAATACCGTTATATTTTTTGAGAAACGGTATCTTAAATTTTTATAAAAAGAATTATTTTTAGAGAACTAACAAAAAAGATTTGTCCAAGAATAAGAATGCTTTTATTGCGGAAAAATTAAAACCTTTTCAAAGTAGTAGTTTAACGATAAAAATGTTGGGATCATTTTTGAATTTTTGTTGAATTTGGTTTGGTAGACTCTATGTTAAAGGTTCTAGTTTGTTACTGAGAATTCGTTGCTATAATGACTGACCCCACAAACAACCACTTAAAATAGCGGTCCCGTCTCATAACTTTGAGAAAGTTTGGCGAGCTTACATCAGCTTAATCTCACTGTTCTTTGCTCCAATCAGTATTGTTTTATTAATCCTTTCTGAGTCTTTCTTTAGTTCATTTTGATGGTTTAAAGTAAGTAGGATTTCGCTGTTTACCGAATTATAAAGTGCGTCCATTACACACCTCCTATACTGAACCTCATTCGTGGTGTGAAAATGTTTTACCAAAGCAAACGTGAATGAACAGCTGTTGTTTTGAGACTCGTCGGGATATCCTTTGGGATACTCATGATTTTTTCGAAGAGTAAAAGCAAAAGAAAATGAATCCTCTGGAGGTTTGTCACGCTGAATTGGGAAAATATTGTCACACCACCAATAAGGTCCGTAGCCGCTTTGCAGCAACAATAAGCCTGAAGCGAGATGACGTTTTACCCCCGACTCTATACCATAATAATTTTTAAAATTCTTTCATATTAAAATTTTTTTGACTCCTTAAAGAATACAGGAACAAAAGTCATAATTAAAGAACAAAAGCAGTGTGAAAAGGATTATGGTCTAGAGACGGGGGTAAAACGTCATCTCGCATCAGTCTTATTGAATCTGGTGTAATCTGGTTTACACAAGAAAGAATTCAGTTTCCTTAGCCGCCATCACGTGATGGTGCAAAGCCTCTATAGCCGGTTAGTTAAGCCGGGCATGTGACGGCTATAACTATATAGAACAAAGTCATCAAATCCTGCGCACGCAGTAGGTGTATTCCAGCCTAAAAACGCAGCTCCCACGGTAGGCTATTAGCTAGGCACCATCTGATTTCTGTACGTTTTCGAGAATAATTCGTAACTACGCGATCCATGCATACTCACTTATATATCTTTAAGTCGTTAAAAAAAAATGAAATAAATATTTGCATCCCTTCAGACATTTATGACAAATGATATTACGTGCGATACTCTTTTTTTGACTATATATATTATTCTAGTCAAAAAAAAAAAAAAAAAAGAGTATGTTATATAATATATAGTATTTTATATATATATAAAGGCACGCATAAAACTTCCATTAATACTGATTAGAACCAATGACCAATTTTCACAGTCAATTTTTAATACACAGTAACCGTTTTAAAAAGGGGCGTAAATCCGCTTTGAGGATTGACTTTATTTAAAGGAAAAATAGTGAAAACCAGTTATGGAATCATTTTTAACGTTTTTTTAAATTCCCTTCTATCCTTCCTTTCCTTTTATTTATTTCTTTGATTTTCTTAATTTATCAGTTCCTGCGATTTGATTGATAAGCACTTCAGCAATAGATTAATTCTTCTCCACACTTTATTTTCAACATCTAAATTAAACAAATAGTGATGCCAAATCTATCATCAAACAAAAACCTGGACCAACATTTTGCTCGCTAAATTCTTCACTCTATAGCAACCGGCCCCACAGATGCTAAGCGCCTTGAAATCAAATTGAAACCCAGTTGAAACTTTATAAAGGCTGTGAATCAGGTCCCCATGCCTGTCAATAGACACGACAAACTATTAATGTGAGTTCAAAGCCAAGGTAAAGGAATCCTATTCAGTGCTTGTCAAAAACTCGTCACTTTCATTGACGATAATCATCTATTTGTCAAGAAGTGTTTGACCAAGGTAAACAGGACACCATGTGGCTGTTGTACTTTGAAGATTTAATAGGTGTAATAAAACGAACTCGGGGTATACCAACGTCAAACTTCTCGAGTTTTCATTGTCGTTGCTGATGTTCTAAAAGCCAACAAAGTGTTCGAAAACCATTAAAGTGTAATCACCTCAAATGTTTGACAGAGTTGTCGAAAATTGAATATTATTTTAGGAAACTGTTATTGAAAAAAGAAAAGAGCAACCACTTTTTTTAAAGGTGTCATTTATTCTATTTCTGAACAGCTTTAGTTGTCTGTGGGTTAAATCTCATAGAAAAAGATTCAAATCATTCTCAAATCTTTTCGATCCTGCAACTGTCTGTATTCTCAGTCGTGATTATCTTAAGTAGGCCGAGTACCTCAATTTCTTATAATTTTCTTTTCGATGAAAAAAATTGTATATAGAAGAAAAACCTTTGTTTAGCTTAGCGCTAGCATTGTTGTTGCACAGGGACCAAACGAGTTCTGTTGTTCGATCAGTAAACCTTTGTTTTAGTTTGGTTTTAAGTGCTACATCGTTGTTTTTGATTCGCGGAAACAGGTACACGCACTTAACATTTTACATAATTTTACATCTTCTTTCTGTTACTTACTTCCCGTGCCTGCCAAAGAGCTGCCTAGAGACCTTAATAACATGGCATAAGAATCGTGGATGGTCACCCCCAGTTAGCAGTTAACTTAATAGAAACTGATGTCGAATAAATGAAAGAGAGTCAGTTAAAAAAGAAGCCACATTGTTGGGTAACTGCCATTAGTGACACGATTTCTTCAATTCTCTATCTTATTGTTGATAATATGCGAGTGCAACATCCTAAAAACATTTATTATGAGATATCAGAATTTGTGCAACTTAGGTTATTTATGAAGCAAAATGTTTACAACTCAGGTTTAAAATCGAAATGTCTAGAGCGCTTTTGGATCAGCCAAACTAAATTATAATAAAACTAGATTATTTCGCGCGCTCTGATTCGCCAAAAACCAATGAACTATTTCCCCATGGGCTGCACGCTCGCGCACGCTGATCTCAACGGACGCTCTCCTTTTTTCTCTTAATTTTCAAATCCGATAGTGGCGTCAATAGCGCGCGCACGAGCGAGATGAGTGATATAACGAGCGCTCTGATTGGTTGAAAACCTATGAACTATTTCCCCATGGGCTGCACGGTTCATCTTTTCTTGAATGTAGCTATATTATAAATCAATTAGACAACAGAAAGTCGCTCGCCCATTGCGTTATAGACGCACGAGAGAAAATATAAAGACGATTAACATGCGTTAAGAGTGTCGTGAGGCGTAGCCGAGTGCACTCTAGCTTGTTAAGAGTTCTTTATATTTTCTCTCGTGCGTCTATAACGGCATGGGCGCGCGACTTTCTGTTGTCTAATTGATAAGAGACCAATCACTGTAGCCTTTAATATAAAGTAATTTTAATGTAGCCTGACGAATAGCCATGTTATCATGAGCTGTAAATGGCCGACAGGCTTGCAGGCAAAGGACTATGACATTGATGGGGATAATATAACGTGTTTCTAGCGACTAATTTTCTCTTCTCTCCACTGGTTCAAGCATGGCTCCAGCCAGCTTCATCTATAATTGCTAATGATAATAAAAACATAAAAGAAATAAAGATACCTATGACAATTAACATGCAGCCAATCCATTGCATGGGGTTAAACGAGTTGAGAGACAGTCTAAACTGAAAATTAAGCAAGGTCTTTTTCAATAGCTCGTATACACCTCAGTATTTCAAAAAACGTCGTCATCGCCAAAGGCGATAGGCGATAGGTCACTCCGACAAGGAAGTGGTTTCGTTGAATACATTTTATCAGTCTCAACACTAAGTGCAGACAAAGTTTATTTCACTTCTCTTTGTGTATATAGAATCCATTGGTTGGCCTATGGAAACTGAAATCTAACTCAGTCCAACTCTATTATATCTATCTTGGTCAACAGAATCTTTCTATCAAGTAATACCAGGAGGATACTGGAGCCCTCCGTACACGTGCTACACAGGAGGACACTCGTGTAATACATGCTACAACAATTCGAGTGCATCCTACATGCCCAGTACTAAGATATCAGGTATGTATCCACCCATTCAAGTGCATATCTCACATGGGTAGTAAAACCCATTCAAGTGCATATCGCAAATGCGTAGTACAACCTATTCAAGTGTATATAGTACATGTGTAGTACAACCTATTCAAGTGCATATAGTACATGTGTAGTGCAACCTATTCAAGTGCATATAGTACATGTGTAGTACAGCCTATTCAAGTGCATATGGTACATGTGTAGTACAACCTATTCAAGTGCATATAGTAAATGTGTAGTAAAACCCATTCAAGTGCATATCTCACATGGGTAGCAAAACCCATTCAAGTGCATATCGTACATGCGTAGTACAACCTATTCAAGTGCATATAGTACATGTGTAGTACAACCTATTCAAGTGCATATAGTACATGTGTAGTACAACCTATTCAAGTGCATATAGTACATGTGTAGTACAACTTATTCAAGTGCATATAGAACATGTGTAGTAAAACCCATTCAAGTGCATATCTCACATGGGTAGTAAAACCCATTCAAGTGCATATCGTACATGCGTAGTACAACCTATTCAAGTGCATACAGTACATGTGCAGTACAACCTATTCAAGTGCATACAGTACATGGCCACTACTAAGTTATCAGGTATGTACCTATAAGCATTCAAATGCATATCGTACATGGGAACACTAAAATACCAGGTACGGTAACCACCCATTCAAAGGCACATCGTACATAGATACTAAGTTATCAGTTATGTAACAATCCATTCAAGTGCACATGGGAAGTACTAAATAAGTTGATAGATATGTAACACATGGTGATAGAGTCCAATAGGCCGGGAGACATTTGACTGATAATTAATGTCAGCTCTTAAATGACGTACCTTAATAACATTTATTTGACCAGTCCCTTAAGAATCATCATCATGATATCTTTCCCTTATAATTCCCAGCAAATCAAGAGGTGTACCTCCAATACTCCCTTTCGCAACCAACAGCTTCACAACAGTATTACCAGAGCCCCTCAAACTCAAATAAAACAGCTCGCAGACCGCGCAGGCCCTGGACTCGAGCGGTATTTTCTAGTCTCCAACGAAAAGGACTCGAAAAAAGGTTCGAGGTTCAAAAATACTTGACCAAAGCAGACAGACACCAGCTAGCTTCTATGTTAGGACTCTCAGACAACCAAGTTAAAGTTTGGTTTCAAAATCGACGAATGAAATGGAGGCAAGACGCAAGAGAGTCTGTGACGAGTACCAATACTGAGGGGGGAGAGGAAAGTACAAATTGACACTAGGATTCAATTATCATAATTGACTATTTGCATGCATTCAGATGTCTATGTATTATTTAACTTCGGATGTTTATTTTATTCTATTGTTACTATTCTTTCCTCGCGAAAGATGATAAAGAGAACAAATATAGAAATATTATACAAAAATAATATAAAATTCGATGCTTGTATACAACATATTTAATAAACATGTACAATGAATTTATTAAATAATCAATAATATTAAATAATAACTAATAAGCTCTGTTGATGGAGTGAACCTGATATTCTAAAGTTAAGACTCAATCTTGTTTCCAGTCTTCTGTTGTTTCTTCCAAAAACGAAGAGTTCTTTCAATCTTTCAGTTGCCACTTGCGTCAAACTGAAGTTTGAGTTCTGCACAAAACTACAGTCATCATTATCATCTTTATTGAATTAAACCTTCAGGGGTGTATAGATAAATCAAAAATTTCCGTTTTACTAAATACATAAATATATACGAATTTTCTAGACATAAATTACAAATTATTACACCCTGACTTTATACGGCAAAAACTATTAAATTAATCAAATCATGCAGTTTGAGTATCGTATATAGTATATAGTATGCGTGTGACGTCAACCCTGGGCGACAAAACAGTGAAAAAAATTGCATGAGAAATGTTTCAAATCAAGAGAAGAAAAATTCATTGTTTTGACCACCAGATAGGGAATTAGTGCAAGGGGGTCTATTGCCCTTGACGATTTTAACCATTGATAACTAGTACGGTATCTTGGTGGTTCATAAGGAAAGGATACAAGAAGATTCTTTATTGATTAAAAATAATGGATGCCGAATATTATGGCTGGCCGCCTGTCTGGTTGGTGGATGCATGGATCGTATATATTTTCTTACCATTAAAAAAATACGCTGAATAAGCACTTTTAACATGAATAACCACATATTTAAATCGTGGTGACAATACTAACGTATGATTTGTCTTAAAAGTCGTAGAATTAATCGTTTGAGTATCTGTAGTTATTAATTGTCGTTACATTTTCCTTTTCCTATATCTAAATTTCTTTTAATGTGTATGTTGGGATGGGACTAAATTTTTTTTTTTTTTTCTTTTCTTCATCGGGGTTGGGTTTGGGTGTTAATATCATATAGGGGACCTAGGGTCCTATTGTATTATCGCCTGCCCTTGGGCGAATCATGTAATAAATAAATAAATAAATAATATTACAATGATAAAAAATACGCTGAATAAGCACTTTTACATGTGAAGAACCTACATATTTAAATCGTGGTGACAATACTAAAGTATAATATCATCAATGATAAAAAATACGCTGAATAAGCACTTTTATATGTGAAGAACCTACATATTTAAATCGTGGTGTTAAATGTCAAAAGTATATATTATTGCATGCTGAAATACCGCGTGGTATCTAAGATGTCAACTATCGATTATTATAAACGGCATCGTTTATTTGCAATTCTATCTTTCACGGCCATGGATGATAAAAGGACTGGATTGGATACACCGTGACGTTACGTGCGCAACCTAATGGGAAACAGACACGTTACAACAATAACAAAACCATTTTAGCGCTAGATACAATTCTGAAATATACTTTAATTTGCGGAAACCTGTTTTTTTTAAAAAAAATTTAAGATGATGGAGATAGAAGATTTATTTAAAGTGCTACTCTGACGAAATTCGCTCAAACTTGGATTCAGCTGAAACTTCCTAAAAATACTCTTTAAAGGTCCAATAATCACTGTATGAAATGTTTTCTCGATATTCAGGACGAAGGTATGATATTTTTAGGATTATTTTTTTTTGGAGTCTGTGACGTCATACACTCAACATCGAACATCGCTACATACATTTCTTTGTATATAAATCCTTAATTTATTTCATTCCTATGAAGCCCAAAGGGTGGCTAATGTGCTTATTTCACATTACTTGTGACTATAAGTCATATTTTGGGGTGTTTGGGTATTCCTTTCTCCCTTTACTACCGATATTTTGATCATAAACTACAAAGAAATGTATGGAGGAATATTGAGGAAGAAAAGACGGAAGATAAAGAGAGCGGAAAATGAAAGCGACGAAGATGCCTTCTCAACGGACCCATCAGTGGTACTTCAAAAGACGCTTAGGAGAACTCGGATTGGTGAGATAAATGACTTTGACATACACAAAATATCGTACTGATTAGACTTTGTTTTCTAATGAGGCCTTACTGACCTCGCTTCCATTCAATTGTCCCTAGTCCCAACCGAGTGTGGCGGCCATTTTTGAGAAATGTGTATAAAATGTTAAAAAGTCTAGTCTATTCGGTACATTGCTTTCACGGCTATTCATGCCGATTCACCTTCATGGAACCGTGGTCCAGTGGATAAATCTTTGTCGGTCAAGATACTGAAGTCAAGCTCGTCTGAGGAGGGTTAGCACTTGGATGGGTGACCTAAACATTATACCTACTCAAGCGTTTGCTCCTTTTTACCGTTTTTCTTTTATGATTTTTAAAATAATAGACTAATTCCATAAGTTGGTGTTTTCGCTCTTTTGTCGATTCTGGATATCGCTCACACACCGACACACATTACTTGGTCCATTTTGATCGGCGTCGCCACTATACGGCGATCTCCATTCACGTCGCTCGTTACATATTCCGAAACTTTTTAGCCAATCACAGAAGGCGTCCTATTGAGCAAAATCACTTCCTGTTCAAGAGTTTGGTCGGTTTTTTCCCCCGCCATTTTGATTGTCTCATGGAATCAATCCATAAAATCAGATAAGATAAGATGGAAATTATTTCAGAACGGCAATGTATGTCTTGCAACTGGATTTGGAAAATACTTTTGTTTTCGGTTTTTGGCTGAATGATTCAGATATTTCATTCAAACTGAAGGCTGCATGAAGTCAGTTGAAGTTCACATTAAGCACTACTTACACTTTGTCATTTCTTGTTTGTAAGAGACAAGAAGATCTTACAGTGAAAGAAGTCACCAACTGCATAGAAGAAAAGTACTGAGGAGATCAGTAACTTGGCATGATGGCATGTTGGCTTTGGATAGCTGTTGATCTTAGACACACTTTTTTATCCCGTAGAATTTATACAGTCTTATTGATCTTTAGGTAGTATCTTTACTGTCTAGATTCTAAAACGGTGGGCCATAGGGTGGGAAGAAGCTGCGCTTGATCATCTAGTATGGTCCTAAGCCCCATAGTATTTATGAAACTAAATCAAACGCTGTCAGACAGGTCAGACAACACACAAGGGGAAAACTATGTGCTGCACTTACCTTATAGACCTCTTCTTGACTCGAATGACTGGACAGAAGAGGCAAAGGACATTCGCCACGTGAAGGCAAAAAATAGTCGTGTAATAATCCTTTTGTTATATTTCTGCTTAAAATAATCTCGTTCTTTAAACGAACCTTTAAAAATTTGGTAGCCTTTGCTTTTTAAAAATAACATCGTGCAGAGATGCAGACGACTGAGACGATGGCAGCCATCTTGGCTGCTTCGAGATCAGGCCTTCGCAAGCACCCTCTCCCCGTTTGGAAATTTTTGCTCAATTTTCAATTTATTTGATTACCTAAGAGTCTAACATGCGTCGCATCCGGAATTGAAGAAAATTCCGGATGTGACGCAGGCTACTAAGAATCGTTCTCGTACGAAAATCGAAAATCTCGAGTCGCATTTTGATTTTTATGTGTTATAAAAAACAAAAATAAGAAATTAACACTTCAATTCTAAATATCCTGTATAAGCAAAAACGAAAAAAGGTGAATTTTCGTCTTTCATTTCTGAACAAAAATCGAAAATTGAAAAACAGAAATCTAATTTTCAATTATCTTGTTTTTATGAAAATCAAATGGACGGAATATACACGGACCGGACATTCCCTACCACCAAAAGTGTCTTTCATGGCTGCATTTCATCGTTGGTTCGCTTTATTTCTTATTTTGAACAATTTTTGCAATTAAAAAGAGAAAGCAAAGCTGATTAAGTGATCAGCCTCGATTTCATGTTGATATCTGGTTTTGCGTTACAAAAACACCCCCTAATTCGAGACCTATACCACAATTCAGCATTAAAAACTACTCTCGGTTATTCAAGAGTGCAAACAATTAATCTGTGAAACACTAATTACTAAATAGTACAAATTAGTGCCAGAAGTTCATAACTACTTATGAACTTCTGTTAGTGCTAATTACTCGGGCTTCTTTCCGAAGGAAGGCCTGAGTCATAAATCACCCGTTCTTCGTCGTATTTTCCATGTTCGTCTACGAAAAGCAGACATGCGCACTTAACGCCAGTTAGGAACGCCTGGGGCATACATCAGCCTCGGGTCTCTGACGCACACGTCTGTGTTTGCCAGCCACCTTGATTACAAACAAGCTGAATTTCTTACATTTTGTGGTTTAAAAAGTATATATTCTCCTAAAAACGGGCAAAATAACACTGGAGATTTCAGCAAAATGTCCCAGCCACACCAAAAAGGAACGTGGAGAGACTTTAAATCATTATTTAAAAGGGTTAACTCACTTACTTCGCAGAGAAAGGCATTAATGAGATTGTGAGTGACGTTTACTTTGGTTATCTTAGACTTTTTAAATCTCATATCTGATGTCTAATTCCTATATATTTTGGTAATAGCTGTGGCAAATTAGTATAGTAAGGTTTTTAATTACAGTAGAAAGCGTTTGATCAACTTTTGCCAGGCATCATACCAAGACTGGTCATACGATAGACTGGGAATCCAGTGAATGCCTTTCTTTTTGTAACAATAGGCAGCAACGACAAGTTTGAGCATCATCCACTAAACCGCTCAATTAATTTACCGGCTCCGTATAATAGGCTTATTAGAAACAATAAAACCAACCTCAACACCGAAACAGTGACTCGCACTCATTAGAGCGATGCCGCCAATTACGCTTCTTCATGTAATTAGGCTTTTGTTATCGTGGCAGTATAAATATGACCAATCTGACTTTATTCTTCAGTTTACTCTGAAGATGACTTCCGTTCAGGTTGTCGAAACGTCAGTCACATCAAACAGTCCTTCTCAGGACTACATCCACCCGGATGATCATATTAGTTCGATTAACATTCATTCACCTGGGTTCAGACCGTTCTATACAATAAAACTCATTTTATTCATTCATTCTGCTTATGACATAAAAAAATATAAGTATACAATTACCCTTCTATTCTACCAATCATTTCTACACTC